CTCAAGGTCACTCCCCAGAATAGCACTCGTGGGAACGTCTCTTTCGCTCAGCCTCCTCTCTTGGGGAGCATCCCCATCCAGGGGCACGAACCTCACACACATTTCATTCCAAGCAGCAACAGGGGAGAGGAATCTCTGTCTGAGAGGAGACTGGACATTCCCAGGGTCAGATGATGGATGGCCAGGCCCATCTCTGGTGCTGCACTCTCAGTTGTCAGTTCAGCGTTGGTGATTTGGGCTGGTTTTAGCCCAATTCAGCACCAAAATCACCCCTCTCAATGCACCCCCAATGGCCACAAATGGGGCATTGTCCCTTGGGCTTGTTCCAGGCAAGCATCCTGCAATATCCTCAGCTCAGGCAAGCTTAAAGGCTGGAAACAGGGAGGTTCAAGAGTGCAAGGGCAGGTCTTGCCCCTGGGGAGGGACTGTCCCCAGTCCCCAGTCCAGGCTGGGTGGGACCTACTGGAGCAGCTGTGGAGAAGGACCTGGGGGTGCTGGCGGGTGACCAGTGGAGCTGGCCATGTGGCCTGGGGCCAGGAGGGATCCAGGAGGCATCAGGAAGAGCAGGGCCAGAAGGTCAGGGAGTGTTCCTGCCCCTGTCTTTCCCAGGGAGGCACATCAGGAATGCCATGTCCAGTTATGCCAAGTGCAGTGTCCAATTATGGGCTGCTCTGGTTTCCAATCCAGGTCTCAGGGATGACGCTGCCTGAGCCGGGAGGTTGGGCCAGGTGCCTACTCTGGGTCCTTCCAGCCTGACCCATGCTGGGATTTGGGGATTCTGGCAGTTGCAGTTCAGGAATTGTCCACTGGAGGGCAGCAGTGAGCGTGGGAAATCAGCGTCACTGCGCATGCACCGCAGCCAGCTGCAGTTCTGGGTGCCAACAGCAGGCGGCAGCACGAGCTGCTGGCGCTGCCCAGCGCCCGCCCCGCCCCATCCCGGCCCCGGGGGCTCTGCAATGGTTTGGGCTGGAGCGACCTTAAAGCTCGTCTGGTGCCAGCCCTGCCATGGGCAGGGACATCTTCCCCTCGGCCAGGCTGCTCCAGGCACTGCCCAGTCTGGCCTTGAACCCTTCCAGCAGTGGAGAAGCCACAGCTTTATTATAGATGGGTAATATGATGATTGGCTCTCACAATTAAGGGATGAATACTGTGTGTACGTAAAGAGAAGTTTTGTCAATTTATGATTATGTTACTGGAGTTTGTTTTTCGGACACCCTCTGTTCTCCTCCTAGTCTCCCTCTGTATTGTTGCCACCAGAAGGCCCTGGTCGTCAGGGCTGTCAGGGACATGTGGAGGGAGGGCGTGTACCTGTGCCCTTTGCATGGGGCAGTTGGGTAAGGGCCAAGCCTGTTGCTGGGGAAGTGTGGATTGACAATACCTCATCTCCAATCCATCCACAGGAAGGTCTCCACCAATGGACAGCAAGGGAGAGTCAGCTGACAGACCAGGCTATGGAGGGGCCAGGGATCTAGAAGGAAAAATTTTATATATGTATGGCTACTTATGGATATGTATTTGCTGATGCAACACTAGGGTATTAAAGGCACTGTGTTCCCCCCAGTGATGTCCCTGTGCCCACAAGCCCCACAACCCCACTCCCAGTCCCTTGTCCCTTCCCCCCCTAGTGCCCCCCAGCCCAAACCCTGGGAACAATCCCTGACCTCCCCAGTGTCCCCTCAGTGCCCCACCAGCCACCCTCCCCATCCCAGTCCTGTTTTTACCATTCCATTGTACCCACCATGCTCCCCGTAAACTCAAGCCTGCTCCCAGTCCTCTGCAACCTTCTTGTAACCCCAGGTCTCTCTGGGATTTCATCCAAATGCCTGAAGCTGCTCCCTCACCAGCCTCAGTGTCCCCCAGCTCCCACTCCCCAACCCAAGTCCCAAACCGAGTCCCATTTCCCATGTCATGTCACCCCAGGACCCCAACCCAAATCCAGAGGTCACCCCTTGCCCCTGCAATGTCCCCCTGGAGCCCCCATGGTACCACCCCACAATCCCAGTCCCATGTCCTCCCACAAGTGTCCCCAGTGTCCCCCAGCCCCTGGTAGTGAAATTGGCCAGAGTGAACTCCCTGATGGAAATGGAGGTAGCAGAAAGCTGGAATTCTTTCTCAGCTCGGAATCACAGCAGATCTCTCCTGGTCCTGCACATCAGGGGGGACTTTGCCATGGGGTATTTATCCACCACAATTATAAATATTCATTAGGAGGGGCTTCTTAACTAATGCAGATACATCACTTTCTCTGGAAATAATTTGCATGGTTCTGCCCATTTCTGGAAGTCCTTTTATGGTACTGGAGGGTCATCCAAAGGGGTGTCTGGGCGTGGTTCCTACTGAGTGTCCCAATATGCCAGATGACCTTTCCTGAAACTTCTGCTTTTTCCAGTCACTGCTCCTTCTGTGCTCCAGAACTTGCAAAAGACCCTCACTGGAGTCCCCTTTATCTGTTTCTCCATGGATTCCATCCATGTTCATCCTGACTATTCACACTTCTACCACCTTTCCTTGGTTTGGCCCATTTATCTATAAGCTCTGTCCAGCACTATTGAGGGATCTGAAATTTTCTTTCTCTCTCTTATTGCTCACAGCCCAGTCCCCAGTCCCACTCCCACAGTTCCATGCAAACGTAGGAACTCACTTGCCATCTGCTTTGAGCATTGCTCATGCCAACGGAGCCATTTGGAAAGAAAAAGTCAAATACCAGCACAGGGATCTCTGATTAAATATGAACAAGAATTATTGTCCCTCCTTGATAACACCCAGCTGCCCAAAGAAGTGGCCGTACTACAAACCAGGGCACACCAGCTTGCGGATTGAAAAATCATTGTGGGTTAATACACTTGCAATAAAGCTGCACGAGAGGTTCCACAACAAAGCATCCTGGTGTTAATTCCTGAGAAGGGAATTTCAGCCCCAGAGGTGAGGCCTGGAGAGAGTTGGGCAGATTGAAAATTGGCTGCTTATGTAAAAGCCCACAATAAAGAGGGTGGCTGGGTGGGTGGGTGAGAGGTAACTCCCAATAACCAGGCCAGGCCCTCCCCAACTGTTGCTGCAATTTATAAAGGAGAAAAGCACCAGCAAAGCTCTGGGGAATCAATGAGATGGGGACAGGTGTGTGGCCTCAGATCCTCAGTGTCCTTAGGACAAAACTGTCAGGTCTGTTACAGAGCAATGCCTGATATGTTTTCAAAAGTACCCTTTGCATTCAAAACCATCACCTCCAGGCATCACTGGAAGAGGAAACACTCCTGGGGATTACTGGCAAATGGATTTTCTGAGCTACCATGCCAGCATGGGCTCAGGTATCTCCTGGTGTTGGTGGACCCTTCTTGGGGGGTCCAAGACTTCTCCTGTCACACCATCAAGGCCAGGGAAGTCACCCAGGCACTCCCCCAAGAGATCATCCCCAGTCTCAAGGTGCCTGCAGGGATGGCATCTGATAGGGGGCCCCATTTGGTATCTGAGGTGTGACAGAAACTCAGTGAGCCGTGGGGACTGGGGAGAACTGGGGGAACAAGGGACTGTGGGATTGGGGTCATGGGGGCTGAGCAATAAGCAAGAGAATAGAAAGTTTCAGATCCCTTAAAGATGTAGGATTGAGCTTAAAATGAATGGGTAAAAGCAAGAAAAGGAGGTAGAAGTGTGGATACCGGGATGAATGTGGATAGAATCCATGAAGAAACAGATAAAGAAACTCCAGTGAGGGTCTTTTGCAAGTTCTGGACCACAGATGGAGCAGTGCCTGCAAAAAGCAGAAGTTGCAGGAAAGGTGATCTGGCATATTGGGACACTCAGTAGGAACCACACCCAGAAACCCCTTTGGGTGACCCTCCAGTACCATAAAAGGACTTCTAGAAAGAGGCAGAACCATGCAAATTATTTCCAGAGAAAGTGATGTATCTGCATTAGCTAAGAAGCCCCTTCTAATGAATATTTATGATTATGATGGATAAATACCCCATGGCAAAATCCCCGTGATGTGCAGGACCAGGAGAGATCTGCTGTGATTCTGAGCTGAGAAAGAATTCCGGCTTTCTGATACCTCCTTTTCCATCAGGGAGTTCACTCCAGGCAATTTCGGTATCAGAGACTGGGGGACAATGGGGTGATTTTAGAGGGGGTCACGGGACTGAGTGGCAGAGCAGGGCCATGGGGGGCTCCAGCAGGACATTGCAGGGGCAGGGGATGACCCCCAGATTTGGGTTGGAGATCTGGGGTTGCTCTGAAAGGGTCATGGGACTGGGAGTAGAACTGGGGTTTGGGAGTGGGCCGAGGAGGACAGTAGAGGGGTCAGGGACTGGCTTTAGGGATTTATTTGAGGTTTGTAATCCGTCCAGAGTCACACAAGAAGGTTGCCAAGGATTGTGAGCAGACTTGAGTTTTTGGTGAGCACTGGGGGGACAATGGAAGGGAAACACTGGACTGGCATTGGGAGAGGGGCTGGTGGGGCACTGAGGGGACACTGGGGGGGTCAGGGATTGTTCCCAGGGCTTGGGCTGGGGAACTGCAGAGGGGCTGGGGTGACACTAGGGGGGAAGGGACACAGGGCTGGGAGCGGGGTTGTGGGGCTTGTGGGCACAGGAATGACACGGGAGGGGACACAGCAGTGGGATCCAGGGCGGGCATTGTGGGATTGCAATCCTGGAGGGCACAGCTGGGAGGAGAGGTAGTGACCCCAGAATTTGAATCATGGTCCTGGGGGACTGGGAGGCTGCTAATGGTTGATGATATGAGACCATGGGTGTGAGATTGTTGCTCTGAGGGTCTGAGGGACACTGGGGAGTCCTGGAATGACCCCAGGTTTTCAGATCAACATTCCAGGCTGTTTCCAAGGGTCTTCCCACCAGAGCTACTCCCCATCCCCTGGGCTGACACCCCACCTCAGGCCCTCACAGAGAGACCCTTCCTATGTACCCTTGTGTGCCCTCATTGTCCCCTCAACGTGTCCCTCTTTGTCCCCCAGTGTCCCACACCGGTCCCGGTGACTTCTGCCCGCCATGGCCCTCCTGGCTCACACCCTGGCACTGCTGGCAATGACCGTGGCAACTGCCATTGCCATCAAGGTGGTGCCCCTGGACATGGCCTGGGACTCCTTCGATGACCAGTACCGGGGCTGCAGCCCTGCCATGATCACGGCTCTGCCATCCCTCTACGGCTTTGAGTACCAGAGGAATCCTCACTTTGCCAGGGGCTGGTATCATGCGGATGCTGAATGGCGCAAGCGGGGCTCCCATGTGTCCCCTCTGGCGTCCCCAGCCCAGGCCGTGGCTGTCATGGCCTACACAATGAAGTACCTATACAAGGAGTTCAACGCGGCCGTGCGCACAGCCGGGCACTCCAGCCAGGAATACCGGAACAACTTCCACTTCAAAGCGCTGCATTTCCTGCTGACCGATGCCCTGGGGACCCTGAGGCACGCTCAGAAGGGGAAGTGTCACCACGTGTTCCGGGGCGTGCGGGGCATTCATTTCAAGACACGGCATGGCCAGAAGGTCCGGTTTGGTCAATTCACATCAACGTCGCTGAGCAAAGAGGTCGCCCAGAAATATGGAACAGACACCATATTTGAGGTTCACACGTGCCACGGCGTGGACATCCAGGCTTTTTCCTATGATCCTGGCAACCGTGAGGTGCTGATCCCACCCTTTGAGACCTTCAAGGTCACCAAAGTCACCCAGAATGGGCAGAAGACAAAGATCAGTCTCCGCTCCACTGGGACCTTCAGCAAACACAACTGCGCGTGGCTGTGAGGTGACAACAGAGAGGAATGCCTGGGGTGAGGGGGATACCCACTGTGGACCTGGGGACACCAAAGATATGGCTCAGGGGGAAATGATACTGGGCAAGGGGGACAAGGACACTTACTGTATGTGTGTGGGGAGAAGGACAACCAGTGCTGGTGATACCAAATTTGGGGGCACCCATTGTGGGCAAGAGGGAAAGAACATCCATGTCAGGGCACAGGGATGGGGATTCCCACTTCTGGGAGTGGACAGGGACAGGAATGCCCCTGCCAAGGGAGGGCAGAGACTGACCCTGTCCCTCCCCACCAAAAGGATTTTGTTGGGATGGGCCCCATGTGTTGGGATGGGCCCCATGGGTGGGCAATGACCCCCCATGGCACTCCCTGAGGCCCTGTCACCCCCTGTCACCCTCCATGGCACCCCCGACTCCCTCTGACCCCTGTCATCCCTAAGCCCACCATGACCTCATTGACCTACCTAGCCCCTCTACCCCCCATGCCCCCCCACCCACGACATCCTGTCACCTGTCACCTCATGGCCTCCATCTGTCCTGCCACCCCTAACCGTCCATTATGGTCGTTCCCAACCCCCTCACTCCTACCTGGTCTCCCATTATGCCCCTTTTTGTCCCCCAGGTGGGACAATCCCCAGGGCCCCCTTCTGCTGCAGAGGACTCCTCTTGGCCACCACAGCCCTCGCAGTGGCCACCAGAATTCTCCGGGCCGTGAGGTCACCAAGGACATCATGGTCATTCTGGTCACTGTGGCATCCGTGGCCACCATGATCATCAAGACTCCCTGAGCCACAAGACTACCACAGCCACTGTGACCACTGTGCCCACCAAGGTCATTGAGCAAAGCATTCCTATCAAAAAATTCTATCAAAACAATTCCATGAAACAATTTCTTTAAACAATTCCATTAAATAAATCTGACACAGAGAGCCAAAAGTGACAATTTCTTAAGCAGAGCTCAATGTCACTCCCATGAACACCCCTGGGAACGCCTCTTTCTTCAGAAGGATCCTTGAGGAGCATCCCCTTCCCGAGGGAGGAACCTCACACACATTTCATTTTAAGCGGGAATAGAGGAGAGGAATCTCTGTCTCAGAGGGGACTCGACGTTCCCAGTGTCAGCTGATGGATGGCCAGGCCCAGCTCTGGTGCTTCATTCTCAGTTCTCCATTCGGGTTTGGTGATTTGGGCTGATTTTAGCCCAATTCAGCACCAAAATCAGCACAAGATCCCTCTCCATGCAGCCCCAATGGCCACAAATGGGGCATTGTCCCTTGGGCACATTCCAGGCAAAGCATCCTGCCACATCCTGCACTTCACAGGGACCTTTAAGGCTGGAAACTGGGAGGTTCAAGAGGGCAAGGGCAGGTCCTGCCCCTGCGGAGCAACAGTTCCCAGTGTCGGTCCCAGATGGTGGCAACCTCCTGGAGAAGTACCAGAGAAGGACGAGGGGGTGTTGGTAGGTGACCAGTGGAACTGGCTTTGTGTCCTGGGGCCAGGAGGGATCTAGGGGACATCAAGAGGTGAGGGACAAGGAGGTCAGGAAGTGATCATGCCCTGCCCAGGGAGGCACATCAGGAGTGCTGGGTCCAGCTATGTCTAGTGCTATGTCCAGTTCTGCCCAGTGCCATATCCATTTATGGGCTGTTCTGGACCCAATCCTGGTCTCAGGGATGACGCTGCCTGAGCTGGGAGGTTGGGCCAGGTGCCCACTCTGGGTTCTTCCAGCCTGACCCATGCTGGGATTTGGGGATTCTGGCAGTTGCAGTTTGGGAATTGTCCACCGGAGGGCAGCAGCGAGCACGGGAAATCAGCGGCACTGAGCATGCACCGCCCCCAGCTGCAGTTCCGGGTGCCAACAGCAGGCGGCAGCACGAGCTGCTGGCAATGCCCAGCACCCGCCCCGCCCCATCCCGGCCCCGGGGGCTCTGCAATGGTTTGGGCTGGAGCGACCTTAAAGCCCGTCCGGTGCCAGCCCTGCCATGGGCAGGGACATCTTCCCCTGGGCCAGGCTGCTCCAGGCCTGGCCCAGTCTGGCCTTGAACCGTTCCAGGAGTGGGGCAGCCACAGCTTTGGTATAGATGGGTAACATGATGATTGGCTCTCACAAATCAGAGATGAATATTGGTTGCATGTAAAGAGAAGTTTTGTTGATGCATGATTATGTTTTTGTGGTTTGGTTTTTAGACACTCTCTGTTTTCCCATTGTCCTAGGGTGAGGTTATGATGCTTGTATCCCCAGTCATGTGTTCTGTTTATGCTCGATATTATATTCTGTGCTCTCAAGACTGGCTTAGAGTGAAGGCGGGGAGAAGAAGAAGCACAGAGTTTTGTTATCAGGAACTGGACTCCTCCTCCACATTCTGCTGGCTCACTGTTGATGTCTATGCATGGATGGGGCAGAACACCATGCTCCTTTTGCTTTTTTGGTTGGTTATTTAGTTAGTTTAGCTAGCTGAGGCAGTCTGAGTTTTCCCTGGACTTTTTTTCTTTCCCTTTTCTTGGAACTGTTCAAACCTGCTCCAGACGGGGACCTAGGGAATCACTGAGAGCTCGCACTTTGTAGCCTGACGGGGCCTATTCCGCAACTTTTCCCAGCACCGGAGGGACTGATAACAGAGTGACCACCCACAGGAGAGACTTTCTGAATTTGTCATCTCTTCAGAGCAGTGAATGAGTGTTGTCATCTGATATTCTTCATTTTGTGCGCTGTGGAGTGCTTGGCCTGTTAAATAAACAGGTTCTTTCCACTTCTCTCCAAGGAAGTTCTTTCCTGAACCAGCTGGGGGGAGGAGTCATGTAGGTTTAATTTCTGAAGGGACCCATTTTGGAGGTTTTCTCCCAAATTTGCCCTAAACCAGGACACTCATAGTCTCCTTTCCCCCCCTCAGTATTCTTGCCACCAGATGCCTCTGGTTGTCTGGGCTGTCAGGGACATGGGCTTGTATTTGTGCCCTTTGCATGGGGCAGCTGGGAATGGGAGAAACTGTGCTGGGGAGGCATGGCATGACAATGCCTCACCCCCAGTCAGACTGCAGGAAAGTCTCCACCAATGGACAGCAAGGAAGAGTCAGCTGAAAGACTTTGGGAGGGGCCAGGGATATAGAAAGAAAATTTTTGTATATGTATGACTGCTTATGGATATGTATTTGGCTGGTGCAACACGAGGGGTATAAATGGCAGAGCCGCCATTTTGTGGATGAGACTCTGGCTGCAGCTAAGCACACCCCTTAGGATTCAAGTGGAACAACATTTTGGTATTGGCCATTTGATCAGAAAAATTCACCTTGCCAGAGGTTTCCTTGCAGAAAGGAGACAGAAGAGCCCTGTAATTTTATTCATGAAAACAGGGATAAGAGGCCATGGGGAATTTCCTCATGAGGTCTCTCAAATTTCTGGATGATGCAGCCTTCTTTTTACCCCAATTTCCCAGCCATATCTCCTACTCCCTTTCCCCATTGGCTGAGGTACTTGGAAAAAGTGCAGACTTCCCAATCCAGCCACTGCACATCCCTCTTGCTACACACCCTGCCCTTCTATAAGTCAGACACATGACCATTAAAATGAGCTTTAACTCCACCCTGGTTAGGGAAATTAATATTCATACACCTGTTAAGTCTTTATTCTTCTTCTTGAAGTTTAGAAATTTCACAGGATCTTGGCTGAACAGAAGTCTGTCTCAAAGGAAAGCATTTTCTGAAATGGACAGTTTCTCTGGTGACTTCCTTATCTACAAGTCCCTGACCCTACTGACCACCAGATACACACAAGCTGTTTGTAAAGACACTTTTCCTTTCAGAGTTGAATTAATTGTGGTGTGGAAATAGAGTTTGGTTGGTCTTAAGTCCTGAATATGTGGGAATTTACAGGATTTGGGCAAAAATGCTAAAAACCTGAATTTCCAAAGAATTAAAGGGCAATCAAGGGGACATTGGGGGAAAGGGGGGGTAAGTTTGGTGGCTTTTTTTCTCTCTTCTCTTCCTCTTCTCTTTTCCCTTTTTTCCCTTTCCCTCCAGAGAAAATGGCAGTGGTGTCCTTGGTGGGCTTGGTAACCAAATTTTTCTGGGGGTCATGGTGGCCTTGGTTATAACGGAGACCATGGTGACTATGAGAAACGTCTGCTCATGTTAAATTTTTAAAGGTTTATTAAACCATAACTGTTGCCTTCCTGTGAAGGCCGCGATGACCTGGTATCGGAGTCCAGCACTGCGATCTCCTCCTTGGGATCCCTCGTGGCCAATAACGGACGCTAACACCAATGTGGTGGACGGCTAAAGGCGTTTATTGAAGGGTCTCGAGGGTATTTATGGACTAAGGGGTTTCTCTACGTCAGACAGGGGTTTGGCTATGCTTTCTAGGGTTAGTATGGAGTGGAAAGTTACTGGCATCCATAGGTTAGGGGGCTACCTGTTTGGCTACATTCTAAGGGTGATCTTTATCTATGGGGAGGGGGGCAGAAGGATTCCTGTAATTTTCCGTCACAGCCCGAAATCTTCCGAACGCCTGTCCCTTACTACTACACATAACACAATAAAGGGACTGAATAAGGAAAAAGGGACAGTGCTGGGACTGTGGCCAACTGACACAAAATGGTGGCTCTGCCTTTTATACCCCTGCTGTTGCATCAACCAAATATATATTCATAAGCAGTCATACATATTCAAACACTTTCCTTATATATCCCTGGCCCCACCCAAAGTCTGCCAGTTGACTCTTCCTTGTGGCCCATTGGTGGAGACCTTCCTGCAGTCTGATTGGAGGTGAGGTGTTGTCATGCCACGCTGCCCCAGCTTCTCCCATTCCCAGCTGCCCAATGCAAGGGGCACAGGTACAGGCCCTCCCTCCACATGTCCCTGACAGCCCTGACAACCAGGGCTATCTGGTGGCAGCAATACAGAGGGGGTCAAATGAGACTATGTATGTCCTGGTTTAGGGCAAAATTTGGAGAAAAGCTCCAAAAGGGGCCCCTCCAGAAATTAAACATCAGGCTAAATCCCCAACCCCAAACTGACAACTGAGGCTGAAGCACCAGAACTGGGCCTGGCCATCCATTATCTGACCCTGGGAACGTCCAGTCCCCTCTCACATAGAGATTCCTCTCCCCTGTTCCTGATTAAAATGATTTGTGAATGAGGTTCCTCCTTCAGGAAGGGGATGCTTTCCAAGGGTCCTCCTCGAGGCAGAGAGAAAGAGACGTTCCCAAGAGTGTTGGTGTGGAGATTGACATTGAGACATGCTTAAGAAATTGTCACTTTTGGCTGGCTGTGACAGATTTATTTAATGGAATTGTTTTGACTGAATTATTTAATAGAATTGTTTGCACAATGGCCTTGGTGGCCACAGTAGCCACAGTGTGGTATCCTCATGGCTCAAGGAGTCTTGGTGATCAAGGTGGCCACAGTGGCCTTAGTGGTGATTGTGACCATGGTGGCCAGAGTGGCTGTGGTGGCTGCAGTGGCAACAGTGACAGCGGTGGCCCCAGTGACCTCATGGTGGCAATAGCTGCCAAGGTATCCCTAGTGGCACTGGTAGCCTTGGTAGCCCTGGTGGTCTTGTTTCTCTAGGGGTCCTGATGGTCTTGGTGATCGTGGTGGCCACATTGACAACAGTGACCTTGGTTGCCATGGTAGCCATGGTTGCCACAGTGGCCACAGTGACCTCGGTGGCCTCATGGCTCAGAGGATTCCAGTGGCCACTGCCAGGGCTGTGGTGGCCAGGAGGAGTCCTCCAACGTGGAAGGGGGCACTGGGGACACTCCCACCTGAGGGACAAAGATGAGCATCAGGGGGACCATGAGGGGAGTGAAGGGGTCAGGGATGGCAATAAGGGAGACTTAGGGGTTACAGGAGAGATGGGGGCCATGAGGTGACAGATGACAGGGTGTCGGGGGGGGCATGGGGGGAAAGAGAGCCCAGGGAGGTCAGGGGGGCTCTTGGTGGACTTAGGCGTGACAGGGGTCAGGAGGAGTCAGGGGGCGGGGGTTCAGGGAGGGCCAGGGAGTGTCCGTGACCCACCCACATCCAGCACACAGGGCCCATCCCCACAGCACGGCCTCTGGAGGAGCGGGACAGGGTAGGCACAGAGGGTCCCCATCTCTTTCCCTGTCCCTGTTGTCCCGTGGCAGGGGTGTCCCTGTCCATGTTCCCTCCCAGAAGTGGGGGTCCCCATCCCTGTGCCCTGTCATGGGAATTCGTGTCCCCACAATGGGTGTCCCCAGATTTGGGGTCCCCAGCATGGGCTGTCCTTGTCTTCCCCCACACAGTGGGAGTCCCTGCACCATCCCCAGTGAGTGCCATGGTGCCCTGTGCCTTATCATGGGTGTCCCAATGGCCACAGTGCGTGTCCCCATCACCCCAGGCTTTCCCCTGTGCCGTCACCTTGCAGCCACTCGCAGTTGTATTTGCTGGAGGTCCCGGTGGAACGGAGCTGGATTTTTGCCTTGTCCCCTATTTGGGTGACTTTGATGACCTCAAAGGTCTCAAAGGGTGGGATCAGAATGAACTGAACTGGAGAATGTTCAATTTTCACGCCGACACTTGCGCCCTTACACGTGTGCACCTGGAACTCTGTCTCCTGCCCAGAGCACTGTGTAGTCTCATCGTTCATCCATATTGGCATGAAGCGACCAAACCGGACTTCATCACCATGCTGTGCCTCAAATCTGATCCCACACACTTTCTGTGACACATCATAACACTGCCCTTGCAGACTGTCCCTTGTTCTTGCCAGGGCCTGGGTCAGCAGGAAATGCAGAGTTTTGAAGTGGAAGTTGTCCTGGTATTCCTGGTGGGAGCGCCCGGCCACGCGCACGGCATCATTGAACACGCTGTGGAGGCCATCCATTGCGAAGGCCATGGTTGCGATCATCTGGTCTGGGGACAGAGGGGACTCAGGGGGTCCCTGCTTCTGCCACTCGGCTGCAGCCTTTACCCAGACCTCGGCAAACTTCTTGTTCTGCTCAAACTCAGAGTGGTTGAGGGCTGGCAATGCCGCGGTCATGGCAGGGCCACAGCCCCGGTACTGGTCATCAAAGGAGTCCTGGGCCATGTCCAGGGTCTCCACCTCGATGCCCGTGGTGGCCATGGCCATTGCCAGCAGTGCCAGGGTCTGAGCCAGGGGGGCCATGGCAGGGAGAGGCCACAGGGACCGGTGTGGACACTGGAGGACACAAAGGGGACACAGGGGAGACACAGAGGGGACACAGGGGAGACACAGGGAGGGTTCATCAGTGAGGGACTGGGGAGGGGAGTGGGGTCAGCCCAGGGCGAAGGGAGGCACTCCTGGCCAGCAGAGCCCTGGGCATGTCTGGGCTCCCTCATCCCAAATCCTGGGGTTACTTATCCCTCCCCAATTTCCCCCAGCCCCAGGAGCCCCAGTCCCACAGTACCGTGTCCTCCTGGCCCCCCAGAAGCCCAATCCTACTCCCATGACTACAGGTCCCCTCAGCCCCAGCAGAATCCCGACCCAAATCCTGGGGTCACTCTCTGAGCCCCTCAGTGTCTCTCTCGGTTGGTCCCCAGACCCCACTCCTACTCCCATTCCCCAGTTCCTTTGGTATCACCCCAGGACATCAACCCAAATCCAGGCATCACCCTCTGCCCCCACAGTGTCTCCCAGCCTCCCCATCACCCCAATCCACTCTCACCATCCCGTGTCCCCCCTCATTTTCCCCCAGAGCCCCTCATGACCCCAATCTCAGACCTGTGACTCCCCCAGTGTCCCCCCAGCACCGCAATCCCAATCCCTCAGTCCCGTGTCCCCCCAAGAGTCCCCCTGGAGTCCCCCCAGCCCCGATACCAAAATCAGCCGGAGTGAACTCCCTGATGGAACTGCAGGTATCAGAAAGCCGGAATTCTTTATCAGCTCAGGCTCACAGTGGATCTCTCCTGGTCCTGCAGATCACGGGGGACTTTGCCACAGGGTCTTTATCCACCACACTTATAAATATTCATTAAAATGTGTCCCTCACCTCGTACAGAAACTTCCCTTTTCCGAGAAATAATTTGCATGGCTCTACCTCTGTCTGAAAATCCTTTTATGGTACTGGGGAGTCCTAAAAATGAATTTTCTCAGTGTGGTTTTCACTGAGTGCCCCAGTGTGCCAGATGACCTCAGCTTGAACTTTCACTTTAGGCAGGCACTGCTTGGTGTGTTACAGAATTTGCCAAACAACCCTCACTTGAGTTCCCTTTATCTCTTTCTCCACAGCTTCCAGGAACATTTGCCCTGCTGTGTCCACACTTTTACATCCTTTTATTGTTTTTTGCTGTTTCTTCTTTACGCCCTATCCAGCACCATTAAGGGATCTGAAACTTTCTATTCTCTCTCTTATTTCTCACCCTCCAGGACCCCAATCCCACAGTCCCATGTCCCCCCAGTCTCCCCCAGTCCCACTCCCCACTGCTCACTGAGTTGCTGCCACACCTCAGATACCACGTGGGGTCCCCTATCAGATGCCATCCCTGTAGGCACCTTGAGCCTGGGGTTGATCTCTTGGGGGAGTGCCTGGGTGACTCTCTTGGCCTTGTTGGTATGGCAGGAGAAGTTCTGGACCCCAAAAAAGGGATCCACCAACACCAGGAGATACCTGAGCCCATGTTGCCATGGTAGCTCAGAAAAGCCATTTGCCAGTTATCATTGGGAGTGTTTCCTCTTTCAGTGATGCCTGGAGGTGATGGTTTTGAATTCAAAGGGTTCTTTTGAAAACATATCTGGCATTGCTCTGCAGCAGACCTGACAGTTTTGTCCTATAGGTCACTGAGGATCTGAGGCCACAGACCAGTGCCCATCTCATCAATTCCCCAGAGCTTTGCTGGTGCTTTTCTCCTTTACAAATTGCAGCATCAGCTGGGGAGGGCCTGGCCTGGTTATTGGGAGTTACCTCTCACCCACCCACCCACTCACCCTCTTTATTGTGGGCTTTTAGAAAAGCAGCCAATTTTCAATCTGCCCAACTCTCTCCAGGCCTCACCTCTGGGGCTGAAATTCCTTTCTCAGGAATTAACACCAGGATGCTTTGTTGTGGAACCTCTCGTGCAGCTTTAATGCAAGTCTGTTTCTGACACAGATTTGTCAATCCCCAAATTTCTGTCATCCAGAAATTCTTCTTCACGCACCGTGAGAAGGAGGTGCTGATACCATCCTTCAAGACCTTTGAGGTCACTGATGTCAACAGAGAGGGAAGCACGTTGAACATTGGGCTTCACTCCACTGGGAACTCCAGCAACTACAACTGCGAGTGGCTGCGAGGTGACATCTTGGGAACAACCAGGGGGGATGGGGACACTCGGTGAGGGCTGGGGACAAGAACACTTGGTGCTGGGGACACCCATGGCCCAGAGGGGACAGGGACACCCACTGTGAGTGGGAGGCAGGACACCCAGAGCTGGGGACAAGGACAGGGACAGCCACTGCTGGGCACAGGAGATGGGGACACCCAGTGCCAGGTGTGGGGGACAGGGACGTCCAGTGCTGGGGTTGGGGGGGACAAGGTACATGGTACATGGCTGGGTACAGGGGAAATGGACTTTGTTATGGCCCCCTCTGACACCACACCCTCAGGGCCCCCCACCACCTCTGTCCCTCCCCCCATGGCCCTCCTGATGCCCCCCTGACCCTCTCACCCCAGGATCCCCTGACCCTTCTCTTTGTCCCCACAGGTGGGAGCCTCCCCAGGAACTCCCCCCACCTTGGGGTGTTCTCCTGGCTACCGTGGCCATGGCAGTGGCCATTGGAACCCTCTGAGCCATGAGGTCACCAAGGTCACTGTGGTCTTGGAGGCCACCATGGAAGGCCACCAGGATGAAGGCCACCAAGACCCCCAGGGAAATGAGGCCACCAAGGCTACTGCGGCCATTATGGCCACTATGGTCCCTTTGTCCACGGTGACCACTGTGGCTGTTATTTCTACTACAGCCACTGTGGCCACTTTGGCCACCTCTATGACCACTCTGGCCACTCTGGGCATTGGAACCACCATGGTCAGCATGGCCATTGTGCCCACAGTGACCCATGATGTCACTGTGCCCACTGTGACTACTGTGGTCACCGTAACTACTGAGGCCACCATGGCCACCATGGTTACCAAGGTGACCAAGGTCACTGTGGCCACCACAGCCACTGTGGCCACCACAGTCACTGTAACAAGGCGTCCAACCAGGGGAAGCCCCTCCTAGAACTGCCCAGAAGAGGGAGCAATGCCAGGGCATCAGGACCAGCACAAGTGGGGCTGGAGTAGCTGGAACAGTGCAGGACAGCACGGACAGCAGAGATTGGGCAGCGCCTGGGGCTGCTTGGGCACTTCCCTACAGAGGGGTTTGGGAGTGGCAACGTCACGGCCACCTGCTGACACTCCTTGGCTGCCTCGCCTGATGTAGCAATAAATTGCTGCTTGCTCACCTGGGGTATAAAACATGTATCAAAAACTTGATCCTTGCTTGCCTGGCGTATCAAATGTTTATCAGAAATTTGATCCTTGCTTGTCTGGTCTATCAAAATTTTACCAAAATTTGCTGCTGGCTCACCTGATGTATCTGCTACAGCTCCTTTAACGCCTTTCCTGCAGAGTGCCTCATTTCCTAAAATAAAGCATTGTGAGACTCTGTCCAAAGTTCCTCTCATCTGCCTCACAATCATCATTGGGGATCACTGAAGAAAAGACCCTCACCTGAAACTTCTGACCCTTTTGGAGAAAGTCCCTTGCCAAGAACTCTGAGACCTGAGCATAAGTTCCTTACTTGCTAAGCTATTGTTCACAGGTGTGTTTGCTGTATGCTACATGGAACCCAATGAAAAGAAGAAGGGGCCTCCTTGCCCTTTTTGCAACACTAGCCTTGGAAGTTGTCCCACCTCTCAGCCTGGCTGAACCTTTCCTGAGTTTTGGGTGGTCCCCCACAGAAAACCCCTCTCACCCATTTGCAACCACCGTGACAGACAGATTGAGATGTAAGAAGCCTCTCCATCAAAAAACCAAGACATGACATCCCTCTGTGGAAAGGCCCCTGCCTCAACTCTTCCTAAGGACAGGGACTGAAACCCCCAACCCGAGGGAGGTGTGGGGGGAGGCAAGCTGACCAAAGCAAGATGGATGTTGCAGGTGGGAGCAGTGGACCAAGAAGCCAATGGCTCTCGCCCACTGCTGAGAACATGGACAGTGTGTACCCTTCTCTAAATACCATTCCTTCCCCCGAAAATACAATAGACTACCTTTGGTTCGGTTTCAAGATTCATCCCCTTCCCCCATCAAAGTAGAGTATAAGAGTTTGGATGAACTGCAACCTCCGAGATCTCCCTGGACGTGACCTGGTGAACTCCAGCGGCTGGACTTCGAAGGATTTCACCATTCTATGTTTGGTAGCTATACACAGTCCTTTTGGTCTTCCTCCCTCTTAATTATTCTCCTTTTTTGTGAATTCCTCCCCTATGCATTTCGCTCTGGTTATTTCAATAAAGGTGTGTTTGTTTTGATTATCACTGAAAACCCCCCTTGTACCTTGTCGGTTTTTTGCACTCTGAGATCACCCCACAAGCCCTAACAAAACCTGTCTGTGAGGACGGCATGTGACAGGCTGGTTTTAGCCCAATTCAGCACCAAAATCTGCACCAGACCCCTCTCAATGTTGCCCTGAAGGCCACAAATGGGGCATTGTCCCTGGGGCACATTCCAGGCAGAGCATCCTGTCATATCCTGCACTTCGAAGAACCTTAAAGGGTGGAAATTGGGAGGTTCAAGAGGGCAAGGGCAGATCCTGTCCCTGGGGAGGGACAGTCCCCAGTGCCATCTTTGGCTGGGGGGGACCTGCTGGAGCAGATGTGGAGAAGGACCTGGGGGTGCTGGTGGGTGACCTGTGAAGCTGGCTGTGCTGCCTAGGGCCAGAATGGATTCAGGGGGTATCAGCAAGAGCAGGGCCAGGAAGTCAGGGAGTGACCATGCCCCTCTGCCCTGCCCAGGAAGGCACATCAGGGGTGCCATGTCCAGTTCTGCCCTGTGCTATCTCCTGTTCTTGGCTGTGCTGGACCCAGTCCTGGTCTCAGGGATGACGCTGCCTGAGCTGGGAGGTTGGGCCAGGTGCCCACTCTGGGTCCTTCCAGCCTGACCCATTCTGGGATTTGGGCATTCTGGCAGTTGTGGTTCAGGAATTGTCCACTGGAGGGCAGCAGTGAGCGTGGGAAATCAGCGTCACTGTGCATGCGCCGCTCCCAGCTGCAGTTCCGGGTGCCAACAGCAGGCGGCAGCACGAGCTGCTGGCGCTGCCGAGTGCCCGCCCCGCCCCATCCCGGCCCCGGGGGCTCTGCAATGGTTTGGGCTGGAGCGACCTTAAAGCCCGTCCGGTGCCAGCCCTGCCATGGGCAGGGACATCTTCCCCTGGGCCAGGCTGCTCCAGGTCCCTCCCAGCCTGGCCTTGAACCCTTCCATGAGTAGGGCAGCCACAGTTTTGGTAAAGATGGGTAACATGGTGACTGAGTCTCAAAATTATGGGATGAATATTGTGTGTATGTTAAGAGAAATTTTGCTGGTTTATGGTTATGTTATTGTGGTTTGTTTTTCACACAACCTCTGTTGTCCCCACGGTCCCCTTTCCCTCCTTTGGATTGCTGCCACCAAATGGCCCAACTAAATGTTTGTCAGGGTTGTCAGGGACATGTGGCAGGAGGGCGTACACCTCTGCCCCTTGCATGGGGCAGTTTGGAATGGGGAAACCTCCTGTTGCTGGGGAGGCGGGGCATGCCTCACCTCACCTCCAATCAGACTCCAGGAACGTGTCCAACAATGGACATCAAGGAAGAGTCATCTGGCAGACTTTGAATGGGGCCATGGATATAGAAGGAAAATGTTTGAACATGTATGACTGCTTATGGTTATGTATTTGGCTGATGCAACACCAGGGGTATAAAGGTCAGAGCCGCCATTTTGTGGATGAGACTCTGGCTGCAGCTAAGCACACCGCTTAGGATTCAAGCGGAACATTTTTGCTATCAAACATTTGAGCAGAAAAATTCACCTTGCAGAGGTGTACTTGCACAAGGGAGACAGAAGAGCCCTGTAACTTTATTCATGATTAAAGGAGGAGGCCATGTGGAATTTCCCCATGGGGTGTCTCAAGTTGCTGGACAATGCAGCCTCCTTTTTATCCCAATTTACTGACCATATCTTCCTCTCCCTTTCCCCATTGGTGAGGTACTTGGAAGGTGCAGACTTCCCAATCCAGCCACTGCACAACCCCCTTGATATGCACCCTGCCCTTCTGTAACTCATGACCATTAAAATGAGCTTTAACTTCACCCTGAGTGGGGAAATTAATATTCATAAGCCTGTTAAGTCTTTGTTCCTCCTGAAGTTCAGGACTTCAGCAAGACCTTGGCTGAGCAGCAGTCTGTGCCAATGAGCAACATTTTCTGAAACTGATAGTTTCTCTGGTAACTTCCTTATCTACAAGTCCCTGGCCCTATCAACCACCAGATTTACACAGTCTGTTTCTAAAGACACTTTCCTCTTATTCCTTCCAGAGATGAATTAATTGTGGTGCCAAAATAGAGTTTGCTTGTGATTAAATCCTGAATATGTGGGAAAACTCAGAATTTGGGCAAGAATGCAAATGAATGAATTTCCAGAGAAGTTAAGGACAGTCAGGGAGATGTTGGGGGTGAATGAGGATGGGGAAGAATTCTGGTTTTCCTCTTCTCTTCCTCTACTCTTCTCCCTTTTTTTTCCTTTTTTTCCTCCAGGGAGATTGGCAGTGGTGGCCTTGGTGGCCACATTTTTCTGGGGGTCATGGTGGTCATGGTGATCATGGACACCATGGTGAGTGTGAGAAATAACTGCTCACTTTAAAATTTTAAAGGTTTATTAAACCACAACACAATAAAGGGACAGAATAAGGAAAATAGGCAGCACTGGGAGTGTGGTCTACTGCCATTGGCTCGTCCACAAAATGGTGGCTTCATCTTTTATACCCCCAGTGTTGTCACAGCCAAACGTGGCTCTCCCAAATTCTGCCATTCAAACCTTCTTTGTCGTGTGTTGGTGGAGACCTTCTTGTACCTTACTGGAGGTGAGGTGAGGTGAGGTGAGGTGAGGTGAGGTGAGGTGAGGTGACGTGACGTGACGTGACGTGACGTGAGGCATGCCAGACCTCCCCAGCAACAGATTTTCCCCATTCCCAAATGCCCAATGCCAGGGGCACAGGTTCATGTCCAGCCTCCACATGTCCCTGACAATGCTGACAACCAGGGCCGTCCGGTGGGAACAACATAGAGGGGGGGAAAGGGGACAGTGGAGAGAGCAAAGGGTGTCCGAAAACCAAACTACAGGCACATTACTATAAATCAACAAAACTTCTCTTAACATACACACAATACTCACCCTTTACTTCTCAGAAACAATTATCGTATTACCAATCTATAAATAAACAGTGGCTGCCCCACTCCTGGAAGGGTTCAAGGCCAGGTTGTGCAGGGCCTGGAGCAGCCTGGCCCAGGGGAAGGTGTCCCTGCCCATGGCAGGGCTGGCACCGGACGGGCTTTAAGGTTGCTCCATCCCAAACCATTGCAGAGCCCCCGGGGCCGGGATGGGGCGGGGCGGGCTCTCGGCAGCGCCAGCAGCTCGTGCTGCCGCCTCCTGTTGGCACCCGGAACTGCACAGTGCAACTGAATTCCCACACTCGCTGCTGCCCTCCTGTGGACAATTCCTGAACCACAACTGCCAGAATCCCCAAATCCCAGCATGGGTCAGGCTGGAAGAACACAGAGTGGGCACCTGGCCCAACCTCCCAGCTCAGGCAGCGTCATCCCTGAGCACATTATAGGATCCAGAGTAGTGCAGAAAGGGACATGGCACTGGCCAGAACTCAACACAGCACTGGAGAGAGCTGGACACAGCACTCCTGATATGCCTCACCGGGAAGGGCAGAGGGTCCCAAATACTCCCTGACCTCCTGGCCCCACCCCTCCTGATGCCCCCTGGATCCCTCCTGGCCCCAGGCCACATGGCCAGTTCCACTGGTCACCCACAGGCACCCACCATGTCCTTCCCCAGATCTGCTCCAGCAGGACCTTCTGGGCCTGGACTGACACTGAGGACTGTCCCTCCCCAGGGACACGACCTGCCCTTGCCCCCTCGAACCTCCCAATCTCCAGCCTTTAAGGTCCCCCTGAACTGCCGGATGTGGCAGGATATTCTGCCTGAAATGTGCCCAAGAGACAATGGCCCATTTGTGGCCATTGGACAGCATTGAGAGGGGTCTGGTGCTGCTTTTGGTGCTGAGTTGGGCTAAAACCAGCCCAAATCACCAACCAGGAATTGACAACTGAGGATAGACCAACAGAACTGGGCCTGGCCATCCATCAGCTGACTCTGGAAATGTCCAATCCCCTCTCAGACAGAGATTCCTCTCCCATATTCTTGCTTGGAATGAAATGTGAGTGAGATTGCTCTCTCGGGAAGGGGATGCTCCGCAAGGATTCTCCTCAAAACTGAGAGAATGAGATGTGACCACGAATGTTGGTGTGGGGAGCGACATGGAGCCCTGCTTAGGAATTGTCACTTTTTGTTGGCCTTGTCTGATTTATTTAATGGAATTGTTATGATTGAATTATTGATTAGAATTGCTTTGCACAATGACCTTGGTGTGTACAGCAGTCGCAGTGGCTGTGGCAGCCTTGTTACAGGGAGTCTTGATGATCGTGGTGGCCAGGGTCCCCACAGCGACCTCGGTGACCTCGGTGACCTTGGTGGCCTCATGGCTCAGAGGATCCCATTGGCCCATGCCAAGGTTGTGGTGGACGAGGGAGTCCTCTGGAAGGGGGCCCTGGTGATGCTCCCACCTGGGGGACAAAAAGGGGTACAATGGGAAGCTATGTGGGGAGTGAGGAGGTTGGGAACAGCCAAAATGGGGCATTAGCAGTGGCAGGAGTGATGGTGGCCATGAGGTGACAGGTGACAGGATGTCATAGGTGGGGGGGCATGGGGGGTAGAGGGGCTAGGTAGGTCAGCTAGGGGTCATGGTGGGCTTAGGGATGACAGGGGTCAGAGGGAGTCGGGGGTGCCATGGAGGGTGACAGGGGGTGACTGGGGTTCAGGGAGTGCCATGGGGGGTTGTGACCCACCCACGTCCAGCACATGGGGCCCATCCCAACAGCACCGCTTTAGCGGAGAGGGACAGGGTCAGTACAGGCAGGGCCCAGTCTCTGCCCTCCCTTGGCAGGGGTGTTCCTGTCCCTGTCCCCTCCCAGAAGTGGGAATCCCCATCCCTGCACCCTGTCATAGATGTTCCTGTCCTCATGCCCACAATGGGTGCCCCTAAATTTGATGTCACCAGCACTGGTTGTCCTTCTCCCCACACACAGAGTGGGTGTGCCCGTCCCCCACCCCCAGTGAGTATCATTGTCCCCTGTGCCTTATCATGGGTGACCCCAGGGCCACAGTGTATGTCCCCATCACCCCAGGCTGTCCCTGTGCTCTCACCTCAGTGCCACTCGCAGTTGTATTTGCTGAAGGTCCCAGTGGATCGGAGCCAGATCCATGTCCTCTTCCCATCCCGGGTGACTTTGGTGACCTCGAAGGTCTCGAAGGGCGGGATCAGCACCTCCTCCTCCCCTGGATACATGGAGAACTGACGGATGTCCGCGCCATGGCATGTGTGCACCTCGAAAATTGTGTCTGTCCCAAATTGCAGAGCAATCTCTTTACGTGCTGAGGTCGATGTGAACTGACCAAACCGGACTGTCCGGCCACGGCGTGCCTTGAAACGAACATCATGCACACCCCGGAACACGCGGCGACACTGCCAGTTCTGAGCCTGCCTCAGTGTCACCAGGGCATCAGTCAGCAGGAAATGCAGCGCTTTGAAGTGGAAGTTGTTCCGGTATTCCAGGTGGGAGCGCCCGGCCGTGCGCACGGCTGCGTTGAAGTCCCTGTACACGTGCTGCGAGGTGTAGGCCATGAGAGCGATGGCCTGCCAATGGGACGCCAGGGGGGACACGGGAGAGCCCCGCTTGCGCCACTCAGCATCTGCATGGTACCAGCCCCAGGCAAAGTTAGGATTTTTCTGGTACTCGGAGTTGTAGAGGGATGGCAACTTTGCATTCATGGCAGGGCCGCAGCCCTGGTACTGGTCATCGAAGGAATCCCAGACCATGTCCAGGGGCACCACCTTGATGGCCACGGTGGCCATGGTCATTGCCAGCAGTGCCAGGGTGTGAGCCAGGAGGGCCATGCTGGAGAGAGGCCACCACGAGCAGTGTGGGACACTGGGGGACAAAGAGGGACACACTGAGGGCACAATTGGGGCACACGGGGGTACATGGGAAGGGTTCCTCTGTGAGGGGCTGAGGAGGGGAACTGAGGGCAGCCATGGGGCAGGGGGGCAGTTTCAGCTTGAACATGCTGATTCCAAATCCTGGGGTCATTCCTGGACTCCCATCAGACTCCCAGGACAACAATCCCATTCCCCTGGTCCCATGTCCTCCACCCTTAGTGTCCTCCTAGACCCACAGAAAATTATATCAAATTCTGTGGTCGCTCTCTGTCCCTACAGCAGTGGCCCATGGACCCCCTTCTGTGTGCCCTCCAGTGTCGTTCTGCGCCCACCAGCCCCACAACCCTACTCCCAATCCTGCCTCAGTTCCCCCAGTAGTGTCACTCCTGCCCAAACCCTGGGAACAATCCCTTACATACCCAGTGTCCCCGCGGTGCCCCACCAGCCCCTCATCCCAAACCTGGTCTTGTGTTTAACCTTCCATTGTCCCCCCCACGGCTCCCCAGGACCTGACTCCTGCTCCCACATCTCTTTAGACCACGTGTGGCCCAGAGCCCTTCCGGGACGTCACCCAGATTCCAAAAGCCACGCCCTCACCCCCCCAGTATACCCCAAATGCCTCTCCCAGACCCAAAACCTGCTCCCAGTCTCGATACCCATTTCATGACAATCCACGACTCCAACCCAAGTCCAGGGTTCATCCCCTGCCCCGCACATCATCCCCCTGGAGCCCCCCATGGCCCCACTCCACAATCCCAATCCCGTGTCCCTCCCTCAAGTGTCCCCAGTGTCCCCCAGCCCCTGATACCGAAATCGGCCGGAGTGAACTCCCTGATGGAATTGCAGGTATCAGAAAGACGGAATTCTTTCTCAGCTCGGAATCACAGCAGATCTCGCCTGGTCCTGCACATGAGGGGGGATTTTGCCATGGGGCATTTATCCACCACAATTATAAATATTCATTAGAAGGGGCTTCTTACCTAATGCAGATACATCACTTTCTCTGGAAATAATTTGCATGGTTCTGCCCATTTCTGGAAGTCCTTTTATGGTACTGGAGGGTCACCCAAAGGGATTTCTGGGTGTGGTTCCTACTGAGTGTCCCAATATGCCAGATCACCTTTCCTGCAACTTCTGCTTTTTGCAGACACTGCTCTTTCTGTGGTCCAGAACTTGCAAAAGACCCTCACTGGAGTCCCCTTTATCTGTATCTCCATGGATTCCATCCACGTTCATCCTGATATCCTTAATTCTACCACCTTTTCTTGCTTTTGCCCATTCATCTTTAAGCTCCATCTAGAACTACTGAGGGATTTTGATTTTCTCTCTCTTATTGCTCACAGCCCAGATCCCCAGTCCCACTCCCACAGTCCCATGCAAACGTAGGAACTCATTTGCCATCTGCTTTGAGCATTGCTCGTGCCCATGGAGCCACTTGACTAAAAGAAACAAGTCAATTAACAGCAGAGGGAACTCCCATTAAATATAAACAAGAATTAATTTCCCTCCTTGATTCAACCCAGCTTCCCAAAGAAATGGCTGTACTACAATGCAGGGCACACCAGCTTGGGGATTGGCAAATCCCTATGGGAAATAGACTTGTAATAAAGCTGCACAAGAGGTTCTGCAACAAAGCATCCTGGTGTTAATTCCTGAGAAAGGAATTTCAGCCCCAGAGGTGAGGCCTGGAGAGAGTTGGGCAGATTGAAAATTGGCAGCTTATGTAAAAGCCCACAATAAAGAGGGTGGCTGGGTAGGAGAGAGGTAACTCCCAATAACCAGGTTAGGAATTCCCCAGCTGCTGCTGCAATTTGTAAAGGAGAAAAGCACCAGCAAAGCTCTGGGGAATTGATGCAATAGGGACTGGTCTGTGGCCTCAGATCCTCAGTGACCTATAGGACAAAATTGTCAGGTCTGCTGCAGAGCAATGCCAGATATGTTTTCAAAAGAACCCTTTGAATTCAAAACCATCACCTCCAGGCTTCACTGGAAGAGGAAACACTCCTGGGGATTACTGGCAAATGGATTTTCTGAGCTACCATGGCAACATGGGCTCAGGTATCTCCTGGTGTTGCTGGATCCCTTTTTTGTGGGTCCAGAACTTCTCCTGCCAAACCAACAAGGCCAAGGGAATCACCCAGGCACTCCCCCAAGAGATCATCCCCAGGCTCAAGGTGCCTGCAGGGATGGCATCTGGTAGGGGACCCCAAGTGGTATCTGAGGTGTGGCAGCAACTCAGTGAGCAGTGGGGAGTGGGACTGGGGGAGACTGGGGGGACATGGAACGGTGAGATTGGGGTTGTGGAGGGTGAACAATAAGAGAGAAAATAGAAAGTTTCAGATCCCTTAATGGTGCTGGATAGAGCTTAATGATGAACGGGCAAAAGCAAGAAAAGGAGGTAGAAGTGTGGATATCAGGATGAACGTGGATAGAATCCCTGGAGAAGCAGATAAAGAAACTCCAGTGAGGGTCTTTTGCAAGTTCTGGACCAAAGAAGGAGCAGCGCCTGCAAAAAGCAGAAGTTTCAGGAAAGGTCATCTGGCATATTGCGGCAATCAGTGAAAACCACACCCAGACACCCCTTTGGATGACCCTCCAGTACCATAAAAGGACTTCCAGAAAGAGGCAGAACCATGCAAATTATTTCCAGAGAAATTGATGTATCTGCATTAGCTAAGAAGCCCCTCCTAATGAATATTTATAAGTGTGGTGGATAAATATCCCATGGCAAAGTCCCCCCTCATGTGCAGGACCAGGCGAGATCTGCTGTGATTCCGAGCTGAGAAAGAATTCCATCTTTCTGATACCTGCAATTCCATCACGGAGTTCACTTCGGCTAATTTCGGTATCAGGGGCTGGGGGACACTGGGGACACTTGAGGGGGGGACATGGGACTGGGATTGCAGGGTGGGGCCATGGGGGCTCCAGGGGGATGTTATGGGGGCAGGGGGTGACCTCTGGATTTGGGTTGGAGTCTTGGGGTGCCACCAACAGGATCAGGGGACTGGGAGTGGGACTGGGGTCTGGGAGAGGGCTGAGGAGGACAATGGGGGCTGAGGGAGTGGCTTTAGGGATTTAGTTGGTGTTTGTAACCAGCCCGGCGCTACAAGAGAGTTGCAGAGGATTGGGAGCAGGATTGAGGATGAGGAGAGCACTGGGGGGACAATGGAAGGGTAAACACTGGACTGGCATTGGGAGGGGGGCTGGTGGTGCACTGAGGGGACACTGGGGAGGTCAGGGATTGTCCCCAGGGTTTGGGCTGGGGAACTGCAGAGGGTCTGGGGTGGGCTTGTGGGGCTTGTGGGCACAGGGACGACACTGGGGGCGACACAGCAGTGGGATCCAGGGGGGGCATTGTGGGAGTGGATTTTGGGTCATGGGGCACAATGCTCGAGGGTCAGGGAGTGACCCCAGAATTTGAATCCTGGTCCTGGGGGGCTGGGAGGCCACTAAGGGTTGAGGGTATGAGACCATGGGAGTGGGATTGTTGTCCGGGGGGTCGGAGGGACACTGGGGAGTCCTGGAATGACCCCAGGTTTTCCAATCAGCATTCCAGGTCTTCTAACCAGAGCTTTCCCCCTCCACTCCTTGCCCAGCCCCTCACAGAGGGAGCTTTACTCTGTAGCCCTGTGTGCCCTAATTGTCCCCTCAGTGTGTCCCCTTTTGTCCCCCAGTGTCCCACACCAGTCCCTTGGCTTCTCCCAGAGGCTTCTCCCCACCATGGCCCTCCTGGCTCGCCCCCTGGCACTGCTGGCAATGACCTTGTCCGTCACGGCCATCAAGGTGGTGCCCCTGGACATGGCCAGGGACTCCTTCGATGACCGGTACCAGGGCTGCAGCCCTGCCATGATTGCGGTGCTGCCGGCCCTCCACAACTTTGAGTTCCGGGTGAATCCTCTCTTCAGCCAGACCTGGGTGAAAGCCGAGGCTGAGTGGCACAAGCGGGGCTCTCATGTGTCCCCTCTGGCGTCCCCAGCCCAGGCCGTGGCTCTCATGGCCTACACAACAAAGGACATTTACAAGGACTTCAACGCAGCCGTGCGTGTGGCCGGGCGCTCCCGCCAGGAATACCGGAACAACTTCCACTTCAAAACGCTGCATTTCCTGCTGACCCAGGCCCTGGGGACACTGAGGCAGGCTCAGAAAGCAAAGTGTCGCCACGTGTTCCGGGGTGTCCATGATGTCCGGTTCCAGGCACGGCGTGGTCAGAAGGTCCGGTTTGGCCAATTCACATCGACGTCGCTGAGCAAAGAGGTCGCCCAGAAATACGGAACAGACACCATATTCGAGGTTCAGACGTGTCACGGCGTGGACATCCAGGCTTTTTCCTTCTATCTGAGCAACCGAGAGGTGCTGATCCCGCCATATGAAACCTTTGAGGTGACCAAAGTCACCAGGAATGGGAAGAGGGCATGGATCAGTCTCCACTCCACCGGGACCTACAGCAAACACAACTGCGCGTGGCTGTGAGGTGACAGCACAGGGGACAGCCTGGGGTGATGGAGACACGCAGTGTGGCTTTGGGGACAGCCATGGTATGGCACGGGGGGAATGGGGACCGGGACAGGGTCAACCACTGTGTGTGGGTGGGACAAGAACATCCACAGCGAGGGACCAGGACAGAGACACCCAGTGCTGGGAACACCCAATATGGGGACAGGGGACACACATGACAGGACACGGGGGGTGAGGACACTCCCTGCCACCTGTGGGAACACTCACTGAGAGTTTGGGGTCAGGGACATCCACTGCTGGGAGACCAGGTCTGGGGACACCCATTGTGGGCACTGGGGCAAGAATGTCCATGAGAGGGCACAGGGAGGGGGAAGCCCCACATCTGGGAGGGGACAGGGACAGGAACACCCCTGCCAGGGGGGGACAGAGATTGGGCCCTGCCTGTCCCGACCCTGTCCCTCCCCATCAAATGCAGTGCTGTGGGGGTGGGCCCTGTGTGCTGG